CATACATATACTTGGAGAGATCTGATTGTATTTCTATGAGTAAGTTTAGTAAATTCTGTATTTTGAAATGTTTAAAAATGAAAAAAAGCAAAACAAAATTCATAGTGCTCAGTCTCCTAAATGAGTTAAATTGATGCTAAATTAACTCAAAGTCTGCAGAAGGAGTTGGACTGCACAAGAAATGCTGACTTAGAACTCACATAATGAATAAATTATTCTTTAAAAGCCAAACAAAACATGAAGGAAGAGACAAATGTTATTGTCTGGATGATGAATGTGTCAGTAATGGTTTCTTCACTCATTATATTTTATTCTTCTTGATTCCACTTGAATAAAAGTAGTCTTTGTTTTAACAAATAGATCATTTATTCAGTCCTCTGCTGAGTTTTTGAAGCAACGGTCATTTACAAACTGTTTTCTTGGAGGGCTGTCCAGATGAAAAACATCTGGTTACGTTTTGTTTTCCTCATCAAGCGAGACAAAAAGAAAATGACTCGCTTTGCTGAATCCATCTCTTGTTCAAGATTTAATCTGAATGTTCAACTTTCAGTTTATTCTTTGAAATGAAACTAAAGTAAAAAAAAAATATATATATATATATATTATTCCTTCCAGAGCTCCAGAAACTGTAGTCCAGTTGTAACATCCTTCACCACTAAAAACACAGCTAAACTCTATAAAATAACATATTTCTTTTTTTATTTTCAATTTTGAGCACGTTTGTCTAAAAGGTTTCATCTTTTTGTCCCCCGCTCTGGAGCAAAGAGGTGGAATTGAAAGTACCGTATGTCCATCCATCCATGCATCTAGTGAGCACGATGACTTGAAAAACAAGTGAGGTACCGGTTAATTATTTAGGTATTTAAAATCGGCCGTCGTGATCATTTGAGGAAGCAATGCTTTCTTATATTGCTTAAAAATATAGTTTCTTTAACATCCTGAATCATGTTCAATAATTCAGGTAGAAAACTCCAAACAAAAAGAAACCATCCACACCTGACTCAACTTTGTTAGTTTCTTTAAATGATGAGGGAGGCTGAAGTTTCATCTATGGCGTTCAAGGCCACCATTGGCCACCCCCTGGTTCCACCTTTGCACCTAGTGGATAAAAATGCTCCCTCTATTCGCCAGGATCCATTTCTTTGTGTCACCTGGACAAGCAAAAAACCAACAAAACTATCCAGAAAAACACTCATCTCAAAAACTACAAACATTCACTATTCAAGTATTTCAGCGACGGGGGGACATTGGTGTACTGCTTCTTTAAATTTTAATGAAAGTACATAAATACATGTGATGTCCTGTTTGTATAGTTAAAAAAAAAAAGTTTTTTTTAGAATAGTACAACTTGAAACTACAAGTTTTACACCAGCAGTGATTTTTGTGACCTGGCAACACAAACCTGAGGCTTCACTCAGTAAATGGTGCACATAAAACTGTCAACATTAACATGTGTGCGACTTCATCATTATGCAAACCACATTCTTGTAGGGGAATAAATACCTGATCATGGCAGGTTGTTCCATGTTTGTTACAGATGCCTCGACTGAAGGGAGCGAGCGAGAGAAAACAAAAGCAGGGATTAAAATTCTCATCCTAAATCCAGGAATCACGTCAAGCTCCAGCAGTAAAACTAAGAAGTGAAAGGCCTGACGTTGGCAGTTTACACGCAAAGAACACGGGAACGCCTAACGGGAGGCGTGATGTAGAAGTTTACTGAGCATAAATTTAAATCAATCACCTATCAGAACAAATATTTAAAACCATGTTATGTCTGGTAATATGATTTATACAAATAGGTAAATGTGAGAGACAGATCGGTCACAGTAATGAGGGTGCTGCTCCAGTCCGACATGGTGAAGAAGGAGCTGTTAGTTTTCTGGTCAGTTTGTGTCCCAACAGTCAACTCTTCTGCAAAGTTCTTCCTTATTATCAGGACCCGTTGTGCAGAAGGTAAGTGAAGCTTTTATTTTGAAGGGCACAGAATGTAATGACACTTGAGGACGGTTTAATTTGCAGGTTTGAGGAGGTGGCGAGAGGTGTTTGGGGCAGGCACGTTGGTGCTCAGCTGACCTCACTTTGGTTGGAGGTAGATTTCTTCTGTAGATAAGTGTGACGTTCAGGAGCCAGCTGAGGTGTGAGCTGCCGGACGCCTTCCTCTGGAAGCTTTCTGGGATTATTTTACTGGGGGGAGACTCTGGAGGAACTACAGCTGCTGTTCTGGAGGAGCGAGGCTGCGTTGCTGAGAGTTGTTATTTCTGCAGCTGGATTACTGCAGTGAAGTTTTGGGGCTTGTATTTTGTTTGGGGAGTGGTGGCACAGCGGTTAGAGAAGGTGGGCCTGTGATCAGAAGGTCGACATTTCAACTCCCAGGACCAACAACATCAAAATGTTGGAAAGGTGAAACACCCACACCTGCCTCCACCCTCTTTTATCCCCCCACCATCTGCTCCCCCGGGCGCCCTGGATGGCAGCTCTCTGCTCCACACTGTAGCATCCAGCGTAAACAGTCGCCAAGTCTTCGTGCGAGTTAGTTCGCTGCGGCGACCCCTGAGGAAGGGAGCAGCCGAAAGAAGAAGATTTTGTTTGGACCCTCCAGTTTTTTGTTTTAGGAAAAAACCTCCTTGTTTAATTTTGTGTTTGAGGTCACGACGACCCTGAAAGAGTTCATTTGATGCAAAAGGTGCCCCAGTCCTGCCCGGCCCATCCAAAGTTTATGCACACCCCTGCAGATTGTGAAGGTTTATTAGGAAACGGGATGCAACTTGAACGTCTTCCAGATGTGCGGAACCCCAGCCAACACAGAGGACATTGAACGCACCACCTGGAACATCGTGTCATTCTTCCAGCTGGATGGACAGAAGTCAAACTAAAGACGAGATGTTCCGTCAGGTTCTGCTGCTGCAGAGACAAGAACTGATCTGAGGCTCGGTCAGGTGCACGTTCGTGGGACAGTTTCTGCCCCCCCCCCCCCCCCCCCCCCCCCCCAGTGTTCACAGCAGCTGCTTCACCCCCCTCAAACCACCGCCCCCTCCTCCTCCTCCTCCTCCTCCCTCTCGCTGCGTGTGTTTCACTGAGTGTGTGCAGGAAGACGAATCGAGCAGCACGCGGAAGCTCCAAGGACGTCCTTTTTTTTCTCGAGCCCCTGGAGCCGGAGATGCGAGGGACGAGCACTCATTAGCGCGCGCTGCCTCCACCTGCTGCAAGAGAACTTGGTCGGTGCATCACGAGCTTTCTTTGATCCGTGTGCGTTTGTGTGCGTGTGTGTGCATGTGTGTGTGTGTGTGGGGGGGGGGGGGGGGGGGGGTATCGACCCGCCGAGCGGGGGGGAAACCGGGCGTGGTT